CCCCCCCCCCCCCCAGGTGTGCAACCTGAGTTCAGCCCGAGGGCTGGTCTCTCTGCTGTGGGTGCCCACGCGCAGGGCCTTCCATGACACCTGAACTCCCCACGTTCTTTCACCACCTCCCTCACCACTGCGTGCTTCGTGCACACACAGAGACACCACACTTACACAACATGTGCACACACACACAGACCATGATGTGGACCACAGCAGGATGAGCTCAGAGTGAGGCCAAGGGTCTTTTTTTGTCTTTTTTTCTTTATTGATGTGTGAGAGAAACATCGACTTGTTCCGCTATTTACGCATTCATTGGTTGATTCTTATATGTGCCCTGACCGAGGACCAAACCCACAACCTTGGTGTATTGGGATGACTCTAACCAACTGAGCTACCCCGGCCAAGGGTCTTTTATTTCTGTGCCAGGAGTGGGCAGGAGCAGGCTAGCCAGGAGAGGGGGGCACTGCCTCGCCTGAACCAGTCAGAGCTGTACCCCCAAAGGAGCAGTTCCTTCACCCTGAGTCGGGAAGGGGGTGGGTGGGGCCCTCCCAATCAAGGACAGCTGGTGTCAGCGCCTCTCAGAGGCTCTGCCCGCCCACCCAGGCAGGGCTGTCATCAGGGACAGTTGTGAGAGAGGGACAATGTTGGAGTCAGCTCTGTTCAACTGGCAGAAGAGCCACAGCCTTAAGAGCCTCGAGAAGGCCAAACAGGTGCACCTTCAGGACAGGTCTGGGACAAATACAGTGACAGTGAAGGTCAGGGCAGCACCTTTGGGGACAGCTCTGTACCCAGAAGGCTGAGCACAGCCCCAGCAAAATTCTGGGAGTTCTGTGGAGTCCGCATTGGGGTCACACTGAGCAAGGCAAAGTGGGTAAATTAGCTTTGAAGCCTGCATTTCCTCACCATGTGACAAGTGCCTCCTGCTCGACACCACCTGTCTGCATCTGGCTCCCAGGTACTCGCCTGCTAACTTAATGGTCTGGCGATGGGGGTGGGCACCTAGAGCTGAACTGAAGACTACCTCATGCCAGGAGCGTGGCCTCGGTCTGGTTTGCCCATCTAGTCCACCTTTCTCCAGGTAACCCAAGTTTGGCCAATGACACCCCTCTCTGGTAGTCAGCACCTAGACCAGTCCCTTCTGGGAAGTCTGGGAGAGACTCGTGTGCCCCACAGCAAGGCCAGACCCTCTGTGCACTACGGGGTGCCCATGCTGGCATCTCAGCAGCTGCCAGAACCCTGGGTGAGAAGAGGATGATGAGGCGAGGATGGTCACCTCCTACTCCAGCTCAGGCCCACCTATGCCTCATCGCCACCCCCAGGGCCACCAGCAGCAGCTGCAGGCTCCCCCGAGGCAGGAGCAGGAAGGACAGCAGGGCTCAGGCTCGAGTGCCGCCGCTTCCACATGAATGGGAACACACTGCGGGCAAGAACGGCCTCAGTGCAGGGCGGCCGCAAGCGCCCTGCTCGCCTCAGCTCCTGGGCACGGGCACACCTAGGCTCACCGTCTCTTTGTCTCCGGGAGCGTCATGGCCTCCACAAGCAAGCCTTTGTACATGTCGGACTTCAGGAACCGCGGGTAGGAGTCCTGTAAGAAATGGGGGTCAGCCCCGCTGCCTTCCGCCTCCGGCTCAGCTTCCCCCAGCTCCAGCCTGGCGCTGCTCTGACCCTCCGAGCTGCCAGCGGATGGCGCTGGAGGCAGCCATCCAGACCTGCCCTGGCCAAGTCAGCTGACAGGCAGACCTGGGCTCCCATCCCCCGGGCCATTTAACAGCCAAAGGTGTGCAAGAGCCCGGCGCCCACACGGGCATGAACCATGGCACCCCCAGTGTGCGGATGTGGAGCAACTGTCTGCCCCGCGGTGAGGGCAAGGACACAGCTGAATAAAAACAAAGGTTGAGGAAAACTATATGGTAGTAAGGTGGGAGAGGAGTCTATGAATCTCATTGTTCGTATTTTTAAAAGATAAATATAAATTTATCTTGGGAAGAAAATGGAGGGGCAGAGATGGAAGCTGGATTTATGTGAACTTATCCTGCTTTGTAGATTGGATTTTGAAACTAGATATTTCACATAATTGTAAAATGAAAGAATACATAAGCAGTCTCCAAACATTGAAAGTAAAGTGCCACACATGGAGCTGGACATCCAGTGGGAGACACCACCCTAACCACACAACAACAACGCCATTCTGGGGGACATTCCAAATAGGACACATACAAGGGGCCAAAGAAGGAACAAAGGAAACCGCTCGCTGTCAGTAGTTGAATTGTAAATGGTGCTGTGTGTCGTTCAGTTCAGACAACTGAGTGAAGTGTGAGACGAGCAAACAAGTAATTCTGTAGCATTGTTGGAAGCCAAGATTTCAGTGGGAGTGAAAAAAGAGAAAAGGTCCAGGAGGTAGAGAAAGTAATCCTGAACCTGAATTAGAAGTATCAGTATGAATACATTATGTTTAAAACACACATATTTCCTAATTCTGTCCACTGACAGGCCAGGAAATGGTGACCACCCCAGTGGCATGAACACATCTGGTGTGTAGGTCAAGGTTTCTAGATACCACCCATGAAAAAGGGCCAGGGCTGCCCTTGGAAATGGCTGGCTCTAGGCCCGGGGCAGGATCAACCTGGGACAGCTATCACACCAGAAAGCAAGGAAGCCACCAGAGACCGCGGGACACATCGTGGACCTCTGAATATCACGTAAGAATAAGAACTGGCATGGATTGAAGCCCATCAAATCCAGTGAAAATGTGAATTTACGATGGTATTAAAAACACTGAAACCTCATGACCTCCCCTTGGCAGATATCAGGGATCAGCTGAACTCATTATTTTGATAAGTGGAAATTAAAGGAAGGAATCAAGCATTGGTTCTGCCTTTCCTACATGATGGGTATCACTGGCCGGCACACAGTAGGCGAGCGGAGGCTTCCAGCCCATAAACAGAGAGGCAGCAATGGGATTAGAACGTTGCTGATGAAATCACGAGTCTGGGCAATGACCGTCGTGGCTGCTTAGTCACAAAAGGGAGGCAACCAAATCTCATGTACCTCCTGACGGAAGAATGCACCAAGCTGAAGAAAGTGTTCTTGACGACACCGAACAAATAAACAACAAAGCTGAAAGTTTACTGTAGCCCTGGCTGGGTAGCTCAGTTGGTTAGAGTGTCGTCCTGATATACCAAGGTTGCGGGTTTGATCCCTGGTCAGGGCACATACGAGAATCAACCAATGATGCATGAATAAGTGGAACAGCAAATTGATGTTTCTCTCCCCCTTACTGTTTCTCTCTAAAATTAATAAATAAAAAATTTAGAAAATGACTTCTGATCAACACTTGAATTTAACTACCAATTTTTAGCAACAAGGGACAGAGCAACACGTCAAAGATGCCACAGGGACTCAGCAAAATCCAAACTCTGAGAAACTACAGGACAAAGAACCCAGTTCCTTCCAAATAAAACAAAAAATTAAAAGAAAAGATGGAAAAGAAACCTATACAGTACTCTAAAAAGAGGTTTAAGAGACATTAACCAATTCTAATGTATGGGCCTTGTTTGGATCTAAAGTCAAGCAAGTTGAAAAAAATTAGAAAAATAAATACTTGTAGGCTGTGGTATATAAAATAAAGCTGCCCAGAGATGTCTACACCCTAACCCCCAGACCCTGTGAATATGTCTACTTATGTGGCAAAGGGAGTTTGCAGATGTGATTAAATTAATGATGTTGAGGTGGGGAGATTGCCTGGACTATCCAGGTGGGCTCAATGTAACCACAGGGATCCTTATAGGTGAAAGATTGAGGGAGGAGGGTCAGAGAGATTTAAAGATGCTACACCAGAAACTAATATAATACTGTATCTCAACTATAATTGAAAAATAAATTTTAATTTAAAAAAAGAAAAAGCCCTGGCCAGGTGGCTCAGTCGGCCTCATCCCAGTATGCCAGGGTTGCTGGTTCAATCTCCAGGTAGGGCACGTACAGGAAGGAACCAATGAATGCATGGATGGTTGGAGCAACAGATTGATGTTTCTCTCTCAAATCAATAAAAAATTCTTAACTGAAAAACAAAGATGATACACTGCTGTCTTTGAAGATGGGGGATGGGCCATGAGCCAAGGATGGGGGTGCAGAGTCTAGGAACAAAAAGCTATGGAACGGATTATCCCCTGAAGCCTCCAGAAGGAACCAGCCTCAGGGACGCCTTGACTTTAGCGCAGAGGTACCCGGCTCAGACCCTGGCCCCCAGAGAGTAAGTGTGTGCTCATTTAAGCCACCAAGTGAGTGGCGTTTTCTACAAGGGCAACAGGAAACTAACCCGAGAGGCCAGCGGCAGGTGCGGGCCCTGACTGGCTATTCGGGGACACCGAGTAAACTCTGCTCGGGGCGCGCTGCTGGCGCCCGGGTCCTAGGGAGCTTCCTGAAATAGCTACGCGGGGGGCCGGAGGGCCCCAGTGGGGAGGAAGCACCCACCTTCTTCATCAGCATGTAGATGTGCAGCTGGGCCGCATCCAGCACGTAGCGGTGGGGCCGCCGCAGGCCCTCCAGGGTCCGCTCCATCGTCTGGCTGTCGATGTTGACCCAGCGGGCGGCGCCAGGGGCCAGGAACTGCCTGGGCGTGGGGACAGGACAGCCGGGTGGGTCCAGGCTCCACGGGCCTGCCCCCCAGCCAGCCAGGCCGCCCGCACTCACTGGTACACGGAGTCCACCAGCGCGGGGACCCGGGCCTGCCCACCGTGGCGCAGCTCCTCACAGGCCTCCCAGAAGCTGAGGTTCTCGGCTGGGGGGCCAAGCACCAGGCCAGGCCCAGCCGGAGCCGTGTCAGGGCTGGATGGAACCTGGGGGGGAGTCCCAGGCAGCCTCCCTCACTGGGCCTCAAACAGGGGGCGGGGGCATCTCACCACTGAACTCCTTCCTGAGAAAGTCCATGAAATGGGCCCGTCCCACAGGGTCCTCCAGGAGTTCCCGGAAGCTGAAGCCCCATCGCTCCACACGGAGCTTCGTGGGTGCAGCCACACTGGGGGACGGGGTGTGTGTGTCAGGAGCATGAGGAATGTGGGGAGCGTGGGACAGGGGGAAGAACACCTGCAGACCCCCTCTCCCATCCTGAGCTCACTTGGGTGCATTCATGGCCCAGTAGGTGTCATCATCTGTGATCCAGGGGTTGCTGGGCAGGCACCCCGACATGATGGGGTCATGCGGGCCGTGCTGGCTGCTGAACTTCAGGTACCTAGGGGTGGGGATGGTGCCAAGGGCCAGTGCAGGGAGGGGTTATGGGTCGAGGGCACTAAAAGAAGGGTCTGGACTCTGGGCTTGGGGTCTCCAGCTGCCACCCCCATCCCACTCACGCCTCAAGGCAGACAGAGGACTTCACCCGGATCCTGCCCAGGGCCTTTCTGCAGCACTCGATCTACGACATGGGACCTGTGAGGCAGGGCCAAGGCTGCAGGTCAGCCAGCCCACTCCCACGTTCCAGTCCCCAGGACCTACCTCCTGCTTGTAGAAATCCATGTTCTTGGTCTAGAGGGGGCCAGGAAAGCTGTAGTTAGAAGGCAGGCCCCTGCTAGGGACTGACATCCCACCGTGGGCTGCAGAGAAGGGCCCAGACCCCTGCCCAGTTCCTTGGAGCCCCTCCCCTGATGGCAGGGTCTGACTTTCCAGGAAGCTTTTTGGGGGCCTATAGTTTGGAGATTTCCAGAATGTTCTCAAAGTTACCTCGAGGTTTCCCAATTATCACTATCCCATCTTTGCAAATGTACTTAAGTGTTTTTAAAAACAGCATATAGGTAAGAAATACTATGGGTCACACTAGGAAGCCAGACTGTTGACTGTGCTCTAGACTTATCCTGTTCAAAATTTGGAATCTGCCTGCCATCTCCTCATGGGCCAGGTGGAGGAGCACGGCTGTTGGACTGCTGACCCTTCCGAACACTGCACAACCATCACTGATCAGCCGAGGGGAGGCAAAGAGCACCCTCAGGGTGCCTGTGATTTCCAACTTTTGTGTCAGCTCTCCTGGACTGACCAAAATGGGGAAATTATAAACCTATGGTCATGAGCTTATGATTTTGAACTTAGGAAGTAGTTTTATCAGTAAGGTACTAAATGTATCTGTTCTGTTTTGGGTGTCATAGGATTTGAACAGGGGCCTCTGCTGCTGCAAAGTTTGTCCATGTCTGTCCTGGTGCAGTTCCTTCTGGTTCCTGAGGCCAACTGACACCTTGGAGAGAGGTGGCTGGTCTGGCCTGAGGGAAGGGCCCCCCACCCTCCCCAGGGTCCATTGCACTTACTTTCACCCAGGGCAGCAGGTGGGAAGTGAGAGGGCAAGAGTTAGCAGGGCAGCTGGGAATGGGGGACTAGGATGAGGGGAGAATGAGACCAGGAGTGGGGCGGGTCAAGTGCCATTTGGATGGACAGATGAATGCATAGATGGGTGGGCAGCCCCCAAGTAGTCCCATAATGGTGGAGCAGGGGCAGGGAGTGGTGTGTGCATTGGTGTGTTGGGGCTGGGGGGGGCGG